GCCATGCTAGGGAGGACTGGCACAGACGCTCCCTGACACACACCAACCCAGGAGTGCAGCCAGGCAACCCCTTTGAGGCTCAACTCTCTCCTTTCTCCTCTACTTCAGAGACTTCCCCAAATGCACATTCCTTAGGCATACTTCTCATGTTGGAATCCTGGGGATGAGCCCAGGAAAGCACATAGTTCTTTTTCCAGTGTGTGTGTGTGTGTGTGTGTGTGTGTGTGTGTGTGTGTGTGTGTATGGTATGGATGCTCACCGGACATTTAAGTAGGTTCTGAGGATCCTCAAGCTTGCTTGGCAAGCATTTTAACCACTCCCCAGTTCTGGATGCTCAATCGGAACCCCAGAAGACAGTAATATACAGTGAAGATTTAAAATTCATTCTTTAAAGACTGGGGAGATAGTTCAGAGATTAAAGTACTTGCCCCCAAAAGAGCAGAAGTCTGGAACTCCAAAACACAGGTAAATGCCTAGTGGTCATGTTTGTAATTACAGCCTTGGAAAGCAGAGCCAGGATCCCCTGGACAAGCTGGCCACCAAGACTAGCTTGTAAGCTCAGGAATGGATTGAGATACCTTGCCTCAAAGAATATGGTAGAAGGACCAAAAAGAAGATTCTTGACACCAGTCGCAGCCCTCTATATGAGCATATGCACATGTACCAACATATACGCACATGCACCCTCTTCACACATCCCTACATGCATACACACACGGAAACACACATACAAGAAGATGGGGGAGAAAAAAAAGAGTGGTGCTTTAGAAAAATGTGGATTTTATGCAGTCCACAAAGAAAAACTGAATCATAACGTTTGCAAAGAAATGGATTGTAAGTGGAAACCTTGCATTACATGAAATAAGCCAGATTCAGAAAGACAAATACATCTTCTCTTGCATATGCAGAACCTAAATTTAAAATGATATACATATATATGCTAGAGGGATGGTTCATTATGTTAGTAAAAGTGCTTGGCATACAAGCATGAGAACCTGAGCTCTGCTTCCAATAACATGTATCTGTAATCTTAGTGCTGGGAAACAAAGACAGGAGGATCCCTGCAGTCATCGGCCTACTAGCCTCCCTGAATCAGTAAGCTCCAAGTTCGGTTAGAAATCCAGTCTCAAAACATAACGGAGGGGCTAGAGAGATAGCTCAGCAATTTACAACACTTTTGCTCTTGCACAGGACATGGTTTTGATTCCCAGAACCCACATAGTGGCTTGTAACATTCTGTAACTATAGTTCTAGGGATCCAACATCCTCTTCTGACCTTCTCTAGCACCAGACACATACATGGTGCACAGATATACATGCAGGCAAAATTTCATACATGTAAAGTTAACAGGTCTCTTTTGTAAGAAGGAGAGCAATTGATGGAGTCACTAGTGTTAATCCCTGGCTTCCATATGCATATGCACTTGCGCATCTACACACACACACACACACACACACACACACACACATGAACATATACAGCCAACATTATGTATGTGCATGCAGGTCATGAAATTAGAATTAGGATGAAAGAAGAGATTTATTTTTTAAAAAAAAATGAGAAATTCTCACCTTTCCAAATTTTTCAGTGGCTATAAAAGTATGATCTGATTTGTCTTGTCTGATTGTAGGTCCTAAAATCCACCTCACTCCAGAGGTCCTATGCTCTACTCTTCAAGGAAGGAATGCCAAAGAGGAGGCTCTGATATCTTTCCCCAGCCAATCTGTCAGCAATCATGTCTATACAGTGAAATCTCCATAAAAAGACAAACTAGGGTTTGGAGATTCCGGACAGCAGAACTCATGGAGGTTCCCTGAAGATAACTGTTGTCGTTGAGATTTGATATACTTCTACTCATGCACTGAAGGACTGGTCCCTATGCTTCAGTATTCATAGGCAAGACTTTTGAAGGTGACTGGACCATGAAGGCTATAGGCTCATCAATAGATTAATTCATTGATGTACCCATAGCTCAATGGGCTATTGGAATTTTAGGAGGTGGGGCCTATTTGGAGGAAGTAGATCAATTAGGTTCAAACCTTTGAAGAGAATGTATTGTCCCTGGTGCATTCTCCACCACCACCTACACCACCTCATATGTGTGTCTGTGTGTGTGCGCGCATGCGTGCGTATGTATGTATGTATGTATGTATGTATGTATGTATGTATCTCTATCTGTATTTCTCCCCTATTCCCTCCTCCCTCCTGTCCACCATGAGGCAGGCTGTTCTCTGCTACTCACCCACACCATGATAAATTTATTACCTGGCCTCAGACACTAAAGGAACAAAACCATGGGCTGAAATTTCTGGAACTATGAAGAACCAAAATAAATCTTTTTTGTTGTTTTAATCTCAGATACTTGGAATAGCGATAGAAAGTCGGCCAACACAGTGATGGATCCAGAGAGGGCAAAGAAGGTTCACCTGCCTTCTCCACATCTCACACCATACACCTCTTTACTGATGGTTTTTATAACATCCTTCACCATAAACCAGTTAAGCACCTCCCTGACTTCTGAGAGACAGTCAAGCAAATGAATCAAACCTGAGGAGAGTTGTAGGAGCTACATCTGACAGCTGTTGGTCAGAAGCTCAAATGAAAAGACACGAAATTTGGCTGAAGAGCCCCTAAGCAAAGAGTTGAAGATACAACTTGGCTTTTGTTTAATTCTTATAGTAAAACATAGAAGGGATTTCAGGATGAGATTTTGAGGCAGATGTTATAGTTTTAATCTGAAATGTGCCTGCCCCACCCCACCCCAACACATACATGCAGTTTTGAGCACTCTGTCCCTAGCTTGTGGGCTTCTTTTGAAGGCTTGGAGCCTCTGGGAGCTGGAGCCTACACCTGGCCCTGAGTTCGCTATCCTTGCTTCCAGGTCTATTCTACATAAGGAACTCTGTCACCAAACACTCCTGACACCATGGGCCACGCCACTCTGCTTTGCCTTCTGCAGCATGACAGATGATGACCTGAAACCAGGGGCCAAATGAAGCCTTTCCCACCCTCCCTTGTTTCTGCCACTGCACACAAAAACCATGGTATGTTTAGGGGGAAACACCAAGAGTGTGGTCAGGTGATCATCCCATATGGACAGTAGTATAGACCAGCCAAGTGCTACTCATCTAGACAGTGGGGAACTAATTACCCTGTGGCATTTCAGAAAGGGGCGGACCCACTGCAGGCCAAGAATGTTAGACCCTGGGCAACAGAACCATTTCTAAGGAAGGGTTCAGGAGCACCCACGGGGTGACTGCACACTGACTGCACTCCAAGGTTCTACTCACTTTTCTCAGCGCTGTACTTCCTGCTTCTTCAGAGTCAGCTCCAGTGGCCCTGTTACAATGAAGGCTGCTCTCACAACAGAAAGTTCAGGTGGTCAACTTCAGTGGCATCTGTGCAGTGCCATCTCAGCTGGCACACAAGATAAACAAGTCTTCAGGACATGGTTACCTTCACCTGAATGCCAAAGAATGGCCAAAGGTGTCTCAGGGCCCAGAAAGGAAACAATGAAGGTATAGACTTAATGAGAGTCACACAGCCCACTAGGACCATGTCCAGTGGAGCCATGGGTTCCATGAGACCTCACAACAGAAGAGCCATTAGCCTATAATCCCAGTGTGAGGTATATGTATACAATGCCAAGAAAGCTATAAAAAAAAATCAACCCTGGGCACAAGACCACCAACCAAGAAGTTCTAGAAGGTGTGACTTCTACTCCAGTGAGCCTGAGAGGCAGAGCCTTGTTTTCCAGGTTAAAGACTTTGGACATTCTGAGAATGCTTCACTCCTGCCTTCTTCTCTACTTCTCCCTTTGGACTGGGAATGTCCAGCTCTTGACTGTCCTGTAAGTGTAGTCAAGACACATATAAAATGTCTGGTTTTGTGGGTTCACAGCTGGAAAGCAATGTGCTCCAGGACAAACAGCACCTTGAACTGTCATCCATAGCTGATTAAGTGATATTAAGACCTCGGATGGCTGGAATGTGGGTCTGGAATGCCTGTCACTGGACTGTTGCAATCCTAACCTCAAGTGGATGATATGTGGAATAACAGGCTCTTCTGGGAAATGACTGAGAGTAGTCATCATCCGTGAGATCCGTAGGTTATAAAAGCCCTGGAGCTGCATGGTCACTTCCACTGTGTGCGGACACAGTGGAAAAGGAACTGTCTGTACACCGTGAATTAACTTCTCACCAGCCATGGAATCTGACGGCACTGTGATTTGACTTCCCAGCAGACAAATCCATCAGAAATAAATCCGTTTCTAAGCCGCACGACCTATTTTGTTACAGCAGCCCAAAGTGATAGAAGACTTTCTCCCTGCTCCCTCCTCTGAATGCTTGCCAGGAAGGACCTTGAACTCCAAACGACTGAAACACAAGTCACCCCACTACCAATCCTTGCAGGACTGTACCATAAACAAGAAATAAAAATTTGTGTCAAACTACTGAGATGGGCTAGTGGTGTTTAAATTGGTATACCCTCCTGCCTCCAGAGACACTAAGCTCAGAGAGTGGAAGGAGAGTGACGTGTCTAATAGACACCTGAGTAAGTTTCCGGTGGTTGGAGTATGCTGGCTAAGTCCATTGGATGGAGAAGAGCCTAGTTATCAGTATACATCTCTGGGTGTCTAAGGAGGCATTTCCAGAAAGGGAAGATTCAGCCCGAATGTCCCTGGTACTACCCAACATCCTGAGAAGCAGGTAGAATAAAAGCAAGAGGAAACCCACTAGCCCCAAAACAAAGGGTTTCTCTGTTTCCCAGACACCATAATGCCTCTGCTCTGTTCTATCCTGGCCCCCACTCCTTACACCCCACCCCCACCCCTGATGGAGTGAAGCCACGAGACAAAGTAAATCTTTCCTCCATTGAGGTGTCTGTTCAAGTAGTTTGTCACAGGAGGGAAAAGCTAAGCTAACATAGTGGGGAAGTAGCATTTTCCAAATGCTGCCCCACAGTGGGGGAACATGAGTCCTCGACACACACCACAATCCTGGACAACACCAATTCCCAAAAAACTTTATTGTTTCAACTGGTAAAATGTCATTGGTCTCTGTGGGGCACCTAGCAGGGCAGAGGAAGACCTGGGGTGGGGCTTGGGGTGGGGCCCCACCCATTACAAAAATCAAAGGCTTTTATAAAAATGCTATAAATTGGTATCAAAAGAAAACCCAAGGGAGGTCAAAGATGGAAGCAAAGAGGGTGAAGGGAAGAGACAAGACCTCCCACCGCTGGGGACAGGGATCCGGCTGGGGCGGAAGGGGTACAAGAAGTTGGGACGGTGATACAAAGTGCATAAATGTGCCTCCCAGACACTCCTCAGAAGTGGAGGGGAAAGGAGGCTGCAGGATGAGCCCTGGTGGGGCTCCAGCTGTCTCCTCACTTGGGGACCCCACAGGAACGGCACTGCCTGAGACTGCCAGATGGGAAGGACCTGCAATTGGGTGGAAGAGAGGACACAGGTCAGAGAAGAAATGAGACTCCTGCTTCCTCTGCCCTCTAGACATCCTGATTCCCTCATGTGAGCCCAGTGCTGAGGAGGTCCCTGCTAGGACCTCAAGTTAGAAGCTCTAAGCTGCACAGGCTAGCTGAGCACACTAGGGGAACCACAGCACCTGAAGGACTGTCCAACACATAGGATACAGGCTGGGATGGAAGCCTTTTCCCCTCTTCAGACCCAGGATAAACACCAGCCTCAAGAATAAACTTCGAGGAGCCAAGAGACCTAACCAGGTCTCCCCTGCCTCCTTCCAGCCTCTCACAGAAAGTGGAGAGCTAAGGGCTGGAAGAGAGCACAGGACAGGGCCTCCCAAGTCCTCCACACCAGACCCAACTTCCACCCAAACCCAGGAGCACATCCTTACCTTGGCCCCTGATCAGATCTTTTTCTTTTTTAGCTTCAGGGCTTGCAGCCAGTTGGGCGATGATCCTTCTGACCTGGAAGGCAGAGTACAAAGGTCATAAACACAAAGTTTAAAGAAACTGAACAAGGTAAGAACACCCACCCTCCATTCAGAAGAGGCAGCCTGGGGTTCAGTTGCACGTCTGGAAGCCCCTATTTAACATGAAGCAATTAATTTCAGTTTCCCACCTCTATAAAGTAGGCTTCCTTTTCTGAGGATAATACCCAAAGCTCCAGACCAAAAAAAAAAATCCCTAGAACTGTTAACTTACCCTGAGGATTTTTCTGGCTTTGGGGGTAATGTAAGGGGCTTCCCTAGCCCTGGGACCTTGCAGGACTTAGAACGCTGGACGGAAGACTCCTTTTGGCTTGATTTGCTCTCTGTCACCTCCCCCTCCTCAGCTGAGCGGTTCCGGGAGCGTAGCTTGGCCTAGGAAACACAGATAAAAGACAGACAGGCAGCAGGATTCAGAAGATGAGGCCTTTAACAAGCGTGTGCAGTCCCCTGGGCCAAACCTGAATCCCTCTATAGACAGTAAGAGATCTGTGTCCCTCAGAGCTGATCGTCGCACCCTGAACACATCAGAAAGTTGTCAGTGAACAAGGCTGAACAGAGGGGTGACTTCTCATACCAGTGTTTTTGCTTGTCTGTCCCCACCCCAGAGCCAACTCCTGTGCCTACCTTAAGATAAAGAGAAACTAACTGCTTACAAGAAACCCTACCCAAGCCACCTCCCATTCCCAGCCAGGGTCAGGGAATAACTCCTTTTACTGAACAGCCCAGCCCATGGCTGTAGTCCCTCTTTACACCTACATTTTGCCCTTCACCTGAGCTACTCATGGGTGTAGACTATGCCCACCCTTCAATCCCCCATCCAGTACCCTGGAGGCTCAAAGATGAAAGAACACCCTGTTCTTTCTTCCATCAAACCTGGCACACTGCATAGAGTCAAGCAAGGAACAAGGGGACCTTCCAGAACCCTCTTTAGCACAAGAAGAGAAGAGAGGAGAAAGGGACTGTGAGGTGTACGGATGCATGGACGGTTGGCTGGTTGAAAATGCTGTACAAGGCTGGCAGGCCAGATGGCTGGGTGTGTGTGCTGAATGATCAGATGGTACCTTCAAGGCTGATGGGCTCAGGCCAGGAAAAAGGTTGACTTTCAGCCCTTTAGTGCCCAAGGACATCCGTGTCCGGCGGCTCTGAGGCTCCTCCACCACCTCCTCATCTGAAGATGGCACCCGGGAGGCCTTTGGCTCTGCAAACATTAGGGAAAGTGTATCAAAACCTGAGCAACATGCCAGACACCACCCTTACCCACACACAAGCCAGACACTGACACAGACTCCATTCAATTAACACACTGATTGTACCGGTTGAATCTTGGAACAGCCGAGTATCCGAGTCTGCTGTCTCTGACAGTCCGAGGGTACCCCCAGGCCGGATGGCTGGGGCCCGATGGCCCCGCTTACGCCCTAGGTTCGCACGACTCCGATACATGGCACTATCAAGGATCTCAGTGTCCTGCTCAAAACAATAGCAACAATTGCTATTGCTGACCCATAGCCCTGCTTAACCCCAGAGGAGCACCTCAACATCACCCCAGGAGCTGAAGGCTGCTGCAGTTTCTTGTTGTCAAGAGGCAACCCATAGCCTGTGTCTGTCTCCCATTACAGCTCAGGAAAGCTCTGAGAATGGGGCTTTGACACATCACCCACATACCCTGATCCTTCCAACAGCCCATCCACCATGACAAGTTCACTCTCCACTGACCTCTATAAAGGAGAAGTCCTCACTGGGGCAGCTGGGCAGAAGTCCTCGGGGAGGCCGCTGGGGGGGCGGGGCTGACACTTGCTCATCTTGCCTAGCGCCCCCTGTAAGACTCCAGGTGCCATCTACCTCTTCTACCTGGCTGGCTTCACCATCAGGCTGAGGCCTCGAGGAAGGCAAAGGGTCTCTGCTGGACGCCTGGGGCTCCCCTTGGCCAGCACCTGCAGTGACTCCTCCTTCCTCCAACAGAACCCTGAGGGCGGAATCTGCTGATTCTCTCTGAGTAGCTCCCTTAGAGCTGCTGGCTGTCATTATCCCCTCCAGAAGGCTCTGGGAGCCAGAAGGTGGAGAGCGAGCCAGACACCTACTGGGGCTGCAAAAGGGACAGGCCAGAAATCAAAGTCATTCACCTACCTGTGAGACCTCATTTCTCTTCCCTGAAGCATAGAGCACAGAAAGGGCTGAGCCTGCTTGGTTGCTTGGAAGGTCCCAGTCCAGGTTTTATCATGTGCAACAGGCCGGGAAGCTTTTATCAAAATGCTTGGGCCTTCTTATAGAGTTTGGATTCTCCGAGTTTTAAAATATTTGCACATGCAGAGAACAAGATCTCTTTGTGTGTCGGTGCATGTGAACGTGTATGTTGAGGCCAAAGAACAACGTGTGTGTGTGTGTGTGTGTGTGTGTGTGTGTGTGTGTGGTGTCTGTCTCTCTGTCTCCAAGGATAACTTTTAGGAGTCAGTTTCTCTTCCTCTACCCTGTGAGTCCCAAAGATCAAACTTAGATAGCGAAGCACTGACAGACAGTAGGCTCTTTTACCAGCCCCGTTCCTTTTCCTTTGATAGGATCTCTCACTGGCCTGGGACATTCATCAGGTAAGCTTAGTGGGCAGGCCAGGAAGTCCCAGAAACCTTCCCCTCTTTGCCTTCCCACCACTGTGAGACTACCACATCACCACACATCTAGCCTTTCTCCTGGGTTCCAGGAACCAAACTCAAGTCTGTAAGCGCTCTCCTGGCTGAGCTGTCTCCCTAGCCCCAGAAGGAGCTACCTGGAAAACAAAAGCTAAACCAGAACATCCCTTATGTCTCCTATCTACCTTGTACATGCAGACTGACCCATAACTGAGGCCAGCTGTGCATTTCTATGTGATTTCATGCTGTGCTCAAAACGTTTCATATTGTATGGAGCTGGAGAGATGACATGACAGCTAACGATCATTTCTAATTCTAGTTCCAGGAGATTCGACACCCTCTTCTGGCTCCCACAAACAATGCATGCATGAATGATACCCAGATACACGTGCAAGCAAACCACCCATACACACGAAATTTAAAAATATGTGAATCTGAAGAAATGCTTTTTTAATGTTTCAGATTTAGGGTTTTGGATTTTTGAGTTAGGAACGGTGCCTGTACCTGAGCCCTTGCATGAGTCCCTCTGCCTGAAATACCCAGTGTTCCTCTACAGAGTCATTAGTAAAGGGAAAAAATAAAAATCTAAGCCCATCAGCATAGCATCCAACACTCAGGACATTCCCAGAGATAGCATTTATTACTGCTGCTCTAAGTTACTGCAGTTCACGCTCCACTCGAAAGCACGTGCTGGATGGTCACACTTCCTGGGGTAAGCCAAGAATGGGCCCATCTGCTCTTTCCCCAAGCTTACACAACCCTTCAGCCCTGAGAGTTATGGGCCCTGACCTCCAGCCCCGACTGCTTTCGATCCTGTGTGTTTGTCTCCATTGCCTGTCTGCAAGCTCCTCAAGGGCAAAGCAAGTCTCCTTTTTGTCTTTGTGTCCCCAGCATCTCTGCCCCATAGATGAGATCACACAAAAGATGAGAAGGCAGGGTCACCTTGGACTTCAGCACAACAATGTGCCTTCTGCCCAATGTTCTCTCAGAGCAGGCATAAATACCAGGAGGGTACCACCCATGCCATGTCCAGCTGCCACTCCCTAAAACATGCTCATTTGTCGAACACCTAGGATAGGGTGGGTGGGTATTGGTACTCACCACACCTACAGGCACAGCCCAAAGCCACACCCTAACCCATACAGGTATAGTGAGGGCTAGCGGGCAATGCCTAGAAGCCGGGCTGCTGAGTAGCTGGTGATACTGAAGAAGGTAAAGATTCAGGCAGGTGAATCAATCTTCACCAGGAAGATGAGACAGGGACAGGGAGAAATGTGTCAGTCTGTCCCTCCATAAGCTGCTGACAGATGGAAATTAAAGCAGTATGGGAGGGACAGAGAGTGGGAGGAGGTGGCAGAGGCTATACAGCACAGCAAAACGAAGAGCAAGCCTGGATGGGAGCCAAAGCCAGCTCATCCTGAAGCCAGCTTAGAGTCAGGGAGGTGACTCTAACCAGACTACAGCAATGGTACCCCACCCAGCCTGGACAACAAAGCCACTGAGAGGATGTGAGCCAACTGAGAAAAGACTGAGAGATCTACTCTCAGCCCACTTCGGGCAGAAGGCAGTAAGAAACTCTGCTGAGGGGGCTTTAAGGGTGAATGGAACATGGAACCCGGGGGAATGCAGTACACACCCACCCAAGGGCCTCTCTGCCCTCTGCATCTGAGAAGCTTTCCTTACTCGGAGCTCAGGTCATCCACAGGCTTCCTGGCAGGACAGGAAGGACAGGAATCTGGGTGCTGAGCCTGCTAGGCCTACAGAGACATAGGCTCTGCCCTGCACCCATAGCAGCCTTGGTCCCAAGACCCATGCCCAGTCCAAGCCTCTGCTTCATCATCTGTTAAAATAGGAGTCAGAAAAGTCCCAGAACTTCACTGGGCTTACTGGCAGAAATATGTACCCACAACTCAGTTGATACCTGATAGATACAAATTGCTACCATAGTCCTCCTCAACAGACATTCCTAGCCTGAGAGGATGGCTCACCCAAACCCTCCAAATGCACTCACTACCCAACGTGACTAAACTGCCCCAAACTGCCCGATACTACCCTCCACTACTGCTCCTGCTGGAAATGCAGGGACAGATCTGCAGCACGACCTGGTGTTTCCGGCTCTAATGCCTGGAATGAGGAAGCATCAGAGCCGGGGCTGGGACAAAGACACCAGAGAGAGACATGGAGGAGGCTCAGACAGTAAGAGTCCATGGGAACAGAAAGGAATTCACAATCACGAGCAGTGGGACCTTGTGTAAACCACACTCTCCCGCTGGGCCTGTTTCTCCATCCCTGAAATGAGGTAGCTGGACTGAATGACCTTTGAGTCTTCTTACAGCCTACAAAGATTTCAGACTGGCTGGGAAGGTTTTGCATTGTGGGGACCAAAGGGCAGGAGCAAGGAATGACCAAGAGAGCAGAAAAGAAGGATCCTGTACCAGCTCTGGCAGACCCGGAAGTGCCACTCTTTCCAGGATGAGATGGCCCTAATCCAGAGGATCAGCTCGAGCTCACCCTCACACCCCCTCCATGCTCATCTATCATAGTCCTGCCAGCAGTCCGACCAATGACTGTCATCCACCATGTATTGTTCAACATGAGGACAGCAACAAAAATGTCACCAAGGGGCTTCCCTTTATAGACACTTCACATCCACACTTGCAAAACAGATACAAATGCAGGCGACTAGATTTCTGGCTTTCTATTTTGGTTGGTTGGTTTGTTTGAGCAATTAGCACAGGAGAGGCGGGGTTTGTATCAGTCACTTTGCACTTCAAGCAAACTCCAAGAGTGCCTGGAGTAAATTCTCATTTTACCTATGACGTACAGCTCCTGAGGTGAGAAGGCCAAAGATACCATGAGGAGAAAAGGCCAGTGCTTCGGTTGGCTCTCCTGAGGTCACAGAGGTGGGTAGAGAATCAGGGCTAGCAGATGGGCCCCAAGCCAGACTACTCTGACCCGTTCTCAAGGACTTCCTGATACAAAAGAAATCTCCAAATTTTTCTTGAAAGATAAGCATTCCACAGTGTATTTCTTTCCCCATGTCAGACGGTCATAGCACCAGCTCCCTAGACATTAGTCAGGTAAGTCTGGAAAACTTTGCTCAACTTCAAGTCCCAGATAATGCTAGTAGACACTAAGTCACATGCATGGCCACAGGGCACACAGCTCTTTCCAAACATGGGACTGTATCAGAAAGGATCAGAAAACATGGCATGCACACAGGCCCTCCCAAACAGTGATTTCCTTCCAGCTGTGGACTAAACATGTTACTGTTACAAACAATGCTTGTGTCTGAGATAAACTCTAAACTCAGGTGACCACGTGTTGGATGCTGGTAGCCATGCTCAAAACAGCATGGCTGCTTAGTAGGAGCCTCCAGCAGCCTCATCATCAAAACCATCCTCACTGCTACTGTCCTGTTAAGCCTGCAAGGAGCCTCCTCCCTCCATCCTAAACCCAGAAGAGAATGCCCATCTCCCTCTTCAAGAACCAATCCCAGTGAGGCAGAGGGCAGACTCTCCACTCTTAGTAATCTGCTTTGAATAGAGTGGCCACACCTGAAAGCAGTTGACGGGAGGGAGTCAGAGGGGTGTAGTGTAGCCTCTACCACCTTAAGACGGTCACGCCATCTCTCAACTTCACAAGAGGACAGAATCAAAATCCCTCTCCTGCTGCATGGGGCAGCCGTGAAGATCCATGCAGTGAAATGCACAGTTGAACACTCAGGTAGAGAGGGCTGAGTCCCAGGAAGAAAACTGAGGACACAGAAGCTGTACTCCCTTTTGCCAGGACTGTTGCTGCTGGAACCCTGGGCCTTTCACGGTAACAGAAGCTCAGAGCTCAACAACCAGTCCAGGCTCACAGGAACATACACGCACGTACATACACACACACCCACACGCACACCCCGGCCCCTAACATTTAGATCTGCACATTCCCACTCCCTACTGACGCCCCTGCAACCTCAGCCACTCCCTGTCCCCTACCCCTCCTCTCAACCAGACAAGCGGACTGAGAACTCCCTTCTTCAGCCCACTTCCTAACCCTATGCTCTCTCCCTCTTCCCCCTCCACGCCAAATGTCTCTCTCAATCCCCCACCCAGAGCCTCCCTAGCCCCTTCCTGGTCCCTCCTGCTCTCCTCCCACTGCCATCTGCCCTTCCACTTAGAACAGCCCCCCTCCAACACCTCCCTCTCCTTCCCTTCCCACATGCCTGGGAGGAAGCTCCCACTCTGGGACTGAAAAAGGTAAAATGTTCTACACACCGAAGAAAAGAAAACCAAATCTCAATGGATGAGAATGTTAACGAATGAGAAGCAATGCCTTTTCCGAAGTACCCTTTCCACAAGGTATGAAACCGCCTCGGTTGGTTTTAGAACATCCATGAGACAGACTGGTTGGTTCTTACCAGCCTGTCCCTCTCCCCAAATGGCATGCCTTTAATCCCAGCACTCAGCATGCAGAAGCAAGCTGATCTCTTCGAACTTGAGGCCAGCATGGCCTACCTAGGACATCTGAGGTCAGCCAAGGTGAAGAATATAAAAAGGGTTGGGGGTCAAGGTCACAGGGCTGGGACTTGGTTCTCAACAACTTCAGATCCCTCAGCCACTGCTCTTCTGGATACTAAGACAAGAGCAGGCTAGACCCCTGAGTTCCCAAGCCCTTGGTTGGCTACTATAATGTATGCTGTGGTAACCTGAGCTTCCACAGGGTAGCTTCCACACTACCTGTGCAAGCATCCCAGGGGCTCATTTTGGATCAGAGCTTGAGTCCTACAGAGCTCACCAGAAACTGTACTAGGAAGAAAGATACCGCGCTTGGTGAAGTGCTGCTCTTGCAAGAGTGCACACTGAGCACAATGCCCAGTTTCCATGTTTTCTTGTTTTATTTTGCTTTGCTTTGCTTTAAGGGAGAAAAAAAGGCCAGACACAGTGGTATGTGCTTGTAATCCCAGCACTGGGGAGGCAGAAGCCAGGTGATCCCCCTGGGGCTCCTTGGCCTGCCAACCTAGCCTACTTGGCAAATTTCAGAATAGTGAGAGAACATACCCCCAAAAAGATAGACCATGACAGAAATGACAGCAGAGGTAGTGTCATTCCATCCACAAGCACAGAGGCTTGTATATATGTGCCTGCACACTCATGTGCACTTGTATACACACACACACACACACCGAGAGAGAGAATGAGAGAGAGAGAGAGAGAGAGAGAGAGAGAGAGAGAGAGAGAGAGAGAGAAACTTGCCAGAAACCAAAAGATGTGGCAGCTTCTACTTCCCTAGACAGCCATAACTCAGTCATTGAGAAAGCCCAAAATGGTACCTCAAATTTTACATTCATCTTCTAAAATAGAATGCGTTTAATTTTTGTGTTTCAAAGTTCATCATAAAATATAAAATGTGGAACTGAACCGTCACAGCCCTGAAGGACTGTTTTCTGAACACTAGAATCCATGGAGAGAGCTAGGTTTCCCTCCTCCGAGAGGTCCCCTGTTTAAAGAGCAATCACACCCTCCCTCCCAGCCCCCTGATGGAGTACCTTACCTGGCTCCCAAGCTGGGTGCTTCTCCTGTATCCATCCCAGTGTCTTCAGAAGGAGTCTCAAAGGAAGGTGACGAGCTGTCTTCACCCTGTGTCTCTGGCCCACTTGTTTCACCAACCCCCAGCTCCCTGGCTTCCAAGGGGTCTTCAGTCTCCAAACCAGGGGACAAACTGCCGCTACTCTTGGGATCTAGCTCTAGGTCAGGGCCCACTCTCCCCACCCCACATTCCCTAACTTCATTTGGGACACCACAGAGCCTAAGGTTCCGGAGTCCCAATTCCTGTGCCCAGTCCATTTGCCCAACTCCACAGCCCCGAGAGCCTTCTGACTCTAGGTCACAGGACACCTCCAAATTCCTCAGGCCTAGATTGTCACCCCAGTCTACCTGACCCACCCCAAGTTCCCTGGGCTCTCCAGGGCTGCAGCCTGCCCCTGGGGCCATGTTTCTCAATCCAAGATCAGGTGTCCAATCTGCCTGTCCAACTCCACGCTCTCTTGACTTAAGGAACTCTCCAGCCTCCACACCTGACCAGTCGGGCTCCCCCACACCACTCTCTCTAGCCTGGCTGTGCCTTCCTACATCTCCCTGCCCTGGCAAATCTCTGCTCCTCGCCTCCATGTTGGAAGTCCAGTCCTTCTCCCCAACTCCCATGCCCCTGGGCTCCTCAGAATCTCCAGTGCCCGAATGCCTGGCCAGATCGCCATTGTTCAAGCCCAGGCTGTCTGACCAGCCCATTTGTCCCACAACATTCTCTCTAGCTTCGCTTGAGCCTTCAGAACTCATACAGCTAGACACTTCCAAGTTCCTGAGACCTAGCTGGTCAGTCCAGTCCACAGCCCCGGCCTTTGTCTCTCCAGGAGGCACAAAGTGGCCACCTCCACTCTTCCTGGAAGGGCTGAGGCCAGCACCACTCACTCTGTCATTGCCGATGATGCCAAACTGATAGCTGCTCTCAGAGGCCTCCATGCACACGTCTCTGCTCCAGTCTTGCCGCCCTGGACTAAATGCTGCCTCCGACTGGGCTGCAACACCAAGGCTGAACTCCCCAGCCCAGCCTCGCTGCTCTCTCTCTCTGTCTTCCAAGTCCACATTGGTAGGGCTCTGACTTTTTGCCTGCATTCTCCCCTGCAGCCTTGTGCTCTCCTGGCTGGAGTCACCATCTTGCCAGTTGTCTTTTGGCCTGGTAGCTCCATCTTGCAAATTAGATGTACTGGGGCTCAGCAGGGCCCCGGATGCTCCTCCCTCCAGTGGACTCACATCCCTGCTGGCCTCACGAAACCTGTCTTCGCCAACTGGAGTCTTCTTCTCAAACTCCTCATCCTGCTGCTGAGCTTCCTCAGGGCTGAACCCAGAGCTCAGAGATCGTGTTCCGAATCCTCTCTCCTGTGAGCCGAGTGCCCTTGAGCCACCACCACTGTAATCCTTTAACCAAGCACTCTTCCCAAACTCCTGGTCCTGCTGGGCACGGATGTCAAGTACAGAATCTCGCTTCTCAAACTCCCGGTCCTGCTCTTCAGCATCCTGGATGCTATAGCCACCAGAGAGGTTCTTCATCCCCAGTTCTTGATCGTTTTCATCCGTATCCTGGTTGGTGCTCACAGACGCTCTCTTCCCAAACTCCCAGTCTTGAAGGCCAGCATCCCGGGTGCTGAAAGAACCCAAGGAATCTCGCTTCCCAAACTCGTGGTCCTGGAGCTCTTTGTCACGGCTGGAGTAAGGGTCCTGGGAATCCCTCTTCCTGAATTCCCATTCCTGTGCATCAGGCTCCAGGCCCTGAGTGCCAAGCTGGGCCAGCTTTCCCACTGCCCGCTCATGGACAGGCACTTCGCTCTCATCTTGGCTGCTGCCAATTCCAATCACCTCTTGGCCAGGGCTGTGTCTGCTGGCCCACTCCCTAGTGCTCCCCTCCCTGGATCTTTGCCCACACTTGCTGTTCCAGTCTCTTTCAAGACCTGCATCTCCAACGGGGCTCCTGCCCCCAAGGCTGTAGTTCTGAGAAGCATCTTGAGACCAGCTGGAAGGACCAAAACCGCTGGGCTGAGAGTCTGCTGCAACCCCAAATTCACTCTGCAGGTCTTTCTGGGCCCAGCCAAGGAGTCCCTGGGAAACAGGGGAAGATGAAAAGAAAAGGGGAAAAAAAGGAAAAGAAAGGAAAGTAAACAAAAGGGAAAGAAAGAGGGGGGAGGGGGGGGGGGAGGGAAGGAGGGACTGATTGATTTTAGGGTTAATCCAGGTGGGAGTCATTCCAAATTGAGAACGATGGCTATCTAGTGCCTAAGAGCCCCACTCTGGCAGAAGAACGCTGCCAGGATTTCAGCTGTGTGACCTTGAGCAAATCACTTAACTACTCTGGGCCTAAGGATCCTCATTCTTAAACAGGTAATTCCTACTACATGGGACCTTTTTGAGATGATCCATCAAGAGCCATTTAAACAGCCTGGCACACATGGACGCGCATGGGACAGTCCTGTGGTCATGTTTACAGCCCTTGGGCAACACCTGGCTAGCTGCCAGGAGAAATCTTGCCTGAAGGAGAGGCCTAAATATGGGACTGGGAGGAGGGGGCACAGTGTCAATGAAGGGCAACTGACTTACAATTTACCTTGCAAGCCAAGGTACTGACAGCACCCAGAGCTGTTCTAGCACCAGTGAGCACCCGGGCCCTTCTTCCCCAGGAAGACTCCACCCTCAGCCAGCCCAGGAAAGTGAGGGCAAAAGGCTCCCTGCACCCCCACCCAACTTTCCCTGACTCACCCCAGAGCCAGAGGGCGGGCGGGCTTGGGGCTCAGGGCTTCGGAGCCTGCCAGCCTCGTCCCGCAGTGCCGCGTTGGCCAGAAGCCGTTCCAGGACAGACATGCTATCTTCCCTCTCCCCAGGCCAGGCCATGCCCCCCCACCTCCCCACTGACCACCCTGGGGCTGCTAGGTGAGCCAGGTACCGGCACGGGGCTGGGCTGCTCCCCTGGCCAGGACCAGTCCGACGGCTCTGGCTCCTGCCCGTCCTGGTCTTGCTCCTGGCTCCAGGAGCAGTTGCCGTTCTGGCAGCCCCGCCCAGAAGCCAATTGAGTCACCCACATCCTGGGACAGACACACCTACTGCAGGAGTCAGTGTGGTGTTAACCCTTTCCTACTCCTCCCTCCTCCTCCAAACTCCAGAGGGCCTGCGGGGGCTCCTCCTTGCCTCCAGCTCCACCCCAACCAGTCCAGTCTAGGACTGAAAAAATATGTCTCAAAAGCCACCTGGATCCTAGCCATTAAATGCAGTCTGGTAGGAGAAAGGGCACAGAGCCGACGACTGGGCTGGTCCTGGCTTAGGCCCAGCCACTAACTCGCTGGGTAACTCTGCACAAGGCACCACTTCCTCCGGGCTTCAGCTGCTGGGCTCCAAAACAGCTCTCGAACTCAACGGGAATTCCAGTTGTAAAAGCCAACACTTACAAAGCATTTATAATGAGCCCAACACTAACCTCAGTACTTTTACATGCCCTAACTCATTTAATCCTCTCACTCTCTGAGCTACAGCCTATCACAGTCACAGAAACTGAGGCAGAGGGTAGAAAAGTATCTGACTCACACCTGGGCAGAGCCAACCAAGCCCAGGTAACAGACCTAGGCTAGCAGATGAACCCTCCAAGTCCACACAACATTCCCTTGCATAATACACCCAGGAATAACAGGTTGACTATTTGGCAGTGCTGTACATTGCATGCGGCACTTTCTCCATTTCACTAGCTGGGGAGACGGCTACAGCACAAGCATCAGCGCTCAAGTTCAGCTCCTTGGTACCAAAAAGTTTTTTGGCATGTTTCTTTAATCCCCGTAATGGGGAGGCAGAGACAAGAGGATCCCCGGAGCTCGGACAACCAGCCAGACTAGGTAAATAGGTTTTCTGCAGGTACAATGAGACCTGTCTTAAAAACTAAGATGCCTGGGGGGGGGGGGGCTGGAGAGATGGCTCAGCAGCTAAGGGAGCTGGCTGCTTTTCCGGAGTTCCTGAGGTTAATACCCACAATCGTCTGTAATGGAATCTGATGCCCTCTTCTGGCATCTGGGTATACGTGCAGATAGAGTACTAATATACATAAAAATAAATAATAAATCTTTAAAAAACAAATAAGATACCTGAGGTTGATCTGGCCTCTGTATGTGCGTGCACCATGTGCACACATGTCTATGAAAGGGCAAAGGTTACAATTAAGGTTCACTCCTAAGACTACTCAGCTAGTGAATACCGGTGTCAGGACTAGAACTCTTAACAGCTGAACCCTAAGCACAACCCTATGCAGTTCTGCTAATGACTACAGATAACAAGATGTGGGTCCACAGCTGCCTTGCCCTCTGTGGTGTCCATGTTAAAAGAATGAAGCCCACCCAAACCCTACCCCTGATGCCCTCTCCCTCCCTATGTCCACCTTACCTCAGAGCAGGTACTTGGTGATTGTATATCCTTTAGCTCAGCTCCGGCTGCCCGCCTCGCACTGCCTGAGTTGGGTGGTGGTGATGCCAAGAGATCATCCAGCCATCGAGAACTGCTTTCAGGGCCTGTAGGCTCAGGAGACACACTACAGGGTTCCTGAGCCTCTGTCATGGGCTGGGTAGTGTCTGCCCAGCCCAGGGTCACCACCTCCTCCTCAGTAGACAATGCTTGCCCAGGATCAGGTACATCAACAAAGAGGATACAGGGTTGGTCAGAGGGTGTTGGCTGCTGCTGTCCCAGCACTGGCTCTAGCACAGGTAGGGCTGCCTCCCTAGTGGCCAAAGTAATCGGGGACTCCTGCCCCACCAGTGGCTCCTGGTCCTCATAGTTCTCCTTTGCTTGCAGTAAGGGTGTTCCAGATGGGCCCTCAACTGTAGGGGTAAGAACAGCTGGGGACTGAGTCTGACTCTTTCCATCATCTCTCTGGGGTAGAGATATGCCTGGATCATTTCCCTGAACCCCAGATATAGGCTTTCCTGGGCTCTCTGGAGCTGATGGTGTTCTTGGTCCCAGCTGGGACACTCCTTCTTCCCTGTCAGATACAGCCCAATTGCCAGCTTCAGCAGCCTCTGCAGCCTCACTTGCTTCAGTAATGGGAGATGGAGGCGGGGAATCCAGCCGCCACACACCCAGACCTGAGGGCCTTGTGGGGAAGGTCCACTCAAATGACTGTGACAAGCTCCAGTTAGACTCTGTCCCACTACCAAAGGGACGATCTAGAGCAGACTGGCTCCCCTGATCTTGGGGCAGAGCAGCCAGTGAGCCCCCCAGCTTCTCTTGGTCCTGGCTTGGTGGCCGAAGGACACCTTCTGAGAAACGGCGCTGACCCAGGCTGCTGGGACGGGATTCTGTGTGACCCCCAGCTGCTGCCTCCTCCCCACATGGGAACGTTCGTGTGAGGTCTGACAATTCAGCCCCCTCAGTCAGGGGTTGAGGCAAGGGGACTGGGGGCTGCTCTGGGCTGTGGTGCCCTGAGACTGTCTCCACAGGAGAGCTGTTGGGTCTGAGGGTTTCTGGGGCTGCCGCAGCAGGTAGCTCTGAGCTGGGGGAATGGCAGGGAGGCTCATGGGGCAAGGCTGCGCTGGGGGATGCTGGAGTCACAGGGAGGTGGATGGAAGCCTCAGAAGCTTCAGGACTCTGGGTTTCAGAAAGTTGAGAGTGGCAGGGAGAACTCTGGTGGCTTGAAAGCCCTGGAGACTCGGAGGCTGGGACAGAGACTTTAGCAGGGAGGACTGGGCTGGTAGAGTGGCCATGCTCTGAAACATCTGCACTTGAGGTGATCCGGGTTTTGGAAACCTGCAAGAGAAAGAGCAAGAGTTGTCACTCACTTCTCAGCTGGGTCCAAGCTCACACAGAGAAAGGCTCAGGAGGTGAATTCAAGCAAGGCTCCTCTACCAGGTCATCGCCCCAGAAAAGGTGCCACGTTCTAGTCACTTGGCAACATTTTCACTATTTCAGTGGCTCAAACCCCAAGGCTCACTTAAGGATCTCCTCCAAGAGGCTAGAGTTCTCGGGCAAGCAACCTATGCTTTATAAATGGAAGAAGGGGGAAATCTGCTGACCACGTACATGAATGGAAGGGAAAGAGCTTGCCCCAGAAAACTACAAGTTCATTCCAAGCCCAGAGCATCTCCTAGGATCATCAAGTGAAAGAATGGATCTCTCTCCTTTGCTCTGTGTACCCACAGGTCTCAGTACAACTCAAGGAGGCACGGAGGCTATGGGTTCAAGCAAAGACTAAGGGGAGTCACGAAAGGTGCATGGCTCCTAGTAATCCTCATACTGCCTCCTAGAAGTTGAACATTTAATTCCTACGGGGTCGCCTGGGGCCTTGGGTTCCCACCTATACTCTCAGGCTGATACCATCGTCTACCTCAGAGTTAGACAAGGATTAAAAAAGAGTTGTGCATATTGGCCCCCAGTATAAAAGAAAAATCTGCTATGGTTACTGGGAACAGAGAGAGGAGACGACATCAGGGAAAGGAAGGAGGCAGAGGTGGGACCAGGCCCCTGGTTCTCCTGCACTGTTCCACTCTGCTTTCTCCCCAAACACATTCATTTGATTTGAATGAACACTGACACTATCCCAACTTCTGAAGTCCCTACCACTTGAGGTCATGACCCCTAGCCACTGCCTCCAGTGCTGTTACCCCCTGCTGGATCTGGGAAAGAATTCTACTTCTTCTCTAGCCCCTAACCCCAACCCCCATTCTCCTCTGCAATAATCCCAGACTTTAAACTGTATCATTAATGCCCCATCCCCATCAGTCTCCTGAAAGCCACTTATTCTTTGAAAGCAGTAGTCCCTGGACCACCAAGAGCCTCCCAACATCACCTTTACATAAGTTCACAGCGGTTCCAAGAGCTGCCGACTGTCTAGCATCCTTTGGTCCTGTGCCCTGCATTCTTCTGAGGTCATTCATTTAGCCCCAGTCCTTCCCAATAACTCTCATCACCGCTGTCTCCAGTCTCTACGTCAAGTCGGCCACCAGCCCAGCCCACTTCCTACTTGTCCTGCTCATTCTTTTTATGTTCCCAGCTCTCTCATTCCTCAACCCCTTTGGGAAGCAAGGGTCAGGAACTCTACTTCCTCCTCGCAGTTCTCTCTCCCCTCCTAGCCCTCAACTCTCTTTTACTACCATCAACAGTCGCCTTTCACACAACACAGCCGGTGACGCTGCCGACTCTCTGTCCATCATACTGATTTAAGCTATTTAAATGCAGCTGTCTGCTGGCTCCAGAACCTGGGCAGCTACGTGGCTGGAGAAAAACACACAGCAATGATACTTGGTCTCCCTTTCAGATTCATCATTGATCTACAAACTGGTTCCAGAGTGCTCACCAACCTACTGCATCCCACCCCACACCCACCCACCACTATCCCATCCCCACTCCATTCACCCCACAGACAACATATTTACAAGTCTCCCCTCAAACCTCCAACACCTCCTTCCCACCCTCTCTCAGCTAATGGCCTTGCTTCCGGTTCTCTGAGAACAGAAGAGAAAGCCAACACTCTGCACCTTTCCTATCCGCCACCAGGAGCCTGGAAGCCTAAGGGCTTGGTTCTCTTTCAGTGACCAGGCACTGTCCTTGCTCCAGGCTAAGGTCAACCCCTTCTCTCTCCTGCATCACTGACTTTTCCCTCCCTACCGGATCCCTCCCTCAGCACACCAACTGCTCTACTTTCCTGTCTAACAGAAAACAGGAGGGAGAGAGGGGGAGGGGGAGGGGGGAGGAAAAAGCCAGTAAGCAAGGAAAAAAAGGGGGTTGACCTTAGCCTGGAGCAAGGACAGTGCCTGGTCACTGAAAGAGAACCAAGCCCTTAGGCTTCCAGGCTCCTGGTGGCGGATAGGAAAGGTGCAGTGTGTTGGCTTTCTCTTCTGTTCTCAGAGAACCGGAAGCAAGGCCATTAGCTGAGAGAGGGTGGGAAGGAGGTGTGGGAGGGGTGAGGGGAGACTTGTAAATAGGTTGTGTGTGGGGTGAATGGAGTGGGGGTGGGAGAGGGAGAGGGAGAGGGAGAGGGAGAGGGAGAGAGAGAAACCCCGAGACCGCTCTGGCCTCACATCTCTTAAGCTACCATGTGTTTTCTTGAAAGTATTGGTTACCTTCACTACACACAGTTCCTCTTGCCCCACCTCTCCTAGACTCACTCCAAACAGGCTTTCTCCTTCATGCCTTCCACCTAACTACTTGCCAAGGTCACCGAGGACCTTCCTGGAGCTAAAGCCAATTGATGCTAACCAGAGGAGGCAACCCAGCCTAGGTACTGGCAGCTGCTGGCATACTCCTGCAGTGGCGCACTCTTTGCTTTGCCAGGCTCTAGAGTTGTTCTCCGTCTCCATTGCTGTGCTTTGGGCCTCTTCCCTCCAGTGTATCACCTACTCCCTTGGTGACCTGAGTCAGTCTCAGCCACCACTGACAACATCCTAAGACTTCCCTTCTGACACACCTGCTTTCCGCTAAATGTCATACTCTATCCAATCATCCAGCTGGCATTCCCACTTGGATGTCTAAAGAGCATCATGAACACAGCAGACTCAAAAGCAAACCCTCATATGTCTCCCAGCTATGCTTTTTCTTTAAAGGTCTCCCTTTAGTAAGTGGGAACCTCACCATCCTGGTTGCTAAAGCCAAATGTCTGGGGGTATTCCTACATTCTGCTCGTTCTCTCCCTTTCTCCTTAGGAGAGACTCTGAATGTCCCGCCTCTTTATCACCTACAGATCAATCCAGATCCCACCACCTCCTAACGGACGCCTCTGTGGTAGACCCCTCTGTAGTAGCCATTATCATCCGTCAAGTCACCTGGATCCAGCTAACAATCCTCTTGATCCCTTCTGACTTCCCTCCTGCAACCTCTTCTTAACCTAAGAAGCAACATGTCTCCTTACAACTAGGCCCTCAGATGCCACTCCTGTAACTGTTCAAACTGCTCAATGGCATCTTCTCCTTGCTCAAGCCAAAGTCTTTAGACGCCTCCAGGCCACTGTGCCAGCTGATATTATTGCCTGTTGGTCCTCACCACCACCTAGTCCTCCTCTCAATGCACCCCCAGAGCTCTTGGCTTCATCGCCTCTGCACACACTGAGTCCTCTGCCGAGAATGCTGTTCCTCAGGCATCACACCACTCGCTACCTGACCTACATAGTGAAGACTTCCCATTACCCTCACCCAGCACATGACCTCCCCAGTTCTCCAAGCAACACCTTATGTATCTGCCAGTTTACAGGATGTCTCTCTTAGTGTCTGCCTGCCTCCCTTTGGAAGGTGCGGTCCTTACAGCAGACGCAATGTGGGCTTTGTTCTCTGGTGTTCCAACCTATAGCACACACATACACAGAGTCACATCTCTCTATTCCAGGGCACTTGGGACACCCTCTAGCTGACAATGGCTCTCCAAACAAGGGCCATTTTGACACATTCTGCTCAGAAAATTAGGCTTCATAAGATGAGACAATGAATAGGAAACTCAGACTTTCCCCTTTCTGAACCCAGGCATAGCCAGGGAGAATTCAACAGTCAAAATATTTCAGGTCCTGCCTCAGACCAAGAGAGTTATTTAGCCTGAGTCCTGTCATTCTCAAAAGAGGCTGACAAAGCCTACTAGCTAGAGTTACCAAAAGGAGTAAATTGTAAACACCTCTAGGCCATGCTCAGCAGCACACAGTAGGGGCTTGGTCAATGCAGGGCTTATCGTAAGTACTGCCCAATCATCATGACCAACCATGATGACCTTAATGACCAGGCACACTGGCCTGGGAGTTTAAAAAACAATTTGAGTCTTGGAAGCAGGTCCCTGGGCAAGTCCATGGGCCACAGTGTCCCTCATCTAAACTGAGAGAATAAGAAGTGATCTCAGATGACACCCCAACTCCACTCTACGCAGCTGTACTCACAACAGAAAGACAACTCACGTCGGTAGGCAGTTCAGAGCTAGCCAGTTTAGCCAGGTCCCCGTTCATTGCCAGGATGGAGGTGAGGCTCCTGAGAGGAAGAGAGACAGAAGTCAAGCTCGTGGGGCAATGGGGTGTAGTTACGCATGCCTTTAATCCTAGGGAGGCTGGGGTAGGCCAGTTTCTGTGAGTTTGAGCCTGGTCTACAGAACAAGGTCCAGAACAGACATGGTTCTACACAGAGAAACCTTGTCTCAAAAAAAACAAAAACAAACCAAAACAAAAAGACTGCTGAAGTCTGTCACAAAACAGAAAAGGGGGGAAGTTAACCCTCCCAAGAAAGTTTAACAACACCCAAAGATTAAACACCTCAGGACTTACTCCTGAAGTTGTCCTGGAAGCTCTAGAGATAAGGAAGGTTGTGCCCACGGAGAAAATGCCCAGGACATAACACCCATTCCCTTCCTGTACACACAGGGTTAATCTGCCCCCTCTTATAGAACAGCATCATGTGTGTCCAGGTCACTCAGAGGTTCCCAAGAAGATAATGTCTTCCTTTCTTAGTCCCTGAGGAGTTAAAATTCTTCTCTGGCCAGAATGCAACTGGTCCCAGCAGCCCTGCTAATATTTCCTGGAGGATTGGGGAATGGGGGTGGGGGTGATTTTCCAAGACTGAACCCTTCGTAGATGGAGAGAGGCATCCAGGCTGGGAAAGAGGATGGCCTCCCAGTAGCCCTGGTCCTGGGGAAGGGGTGGAAGGAGCAGCACAACCACCAGGTGTTTTCAGTGAGAACAAGGCAGGCTGGAGGGTGGGGTAAGGCAGGGTAGAGTAGGGTAGGGCAGGGCAGGGCAGGGCAGGGCAGGGCAGGGCAGGGCAGGGCAGGGACTTCAGCTCCAGACTCAGCCCAGACCACAACAGGCCTGGCCTCCACAGTGGGAAAGAGAAGGCAACCACTGGGCCTAACTCTGCATTCTTCAGGTTGGTGATCTCTTGCCCTGAAAAGCCTTAGGTGGCCAAATCCTTCACATCCCTCCAGGCCTTGAGTCCAACGACCCAAAGAGCGCCTCCCAGCCAGCCTTCCCTTACATGCAGGCCAGCTATCGGTAAGAAGTGCATCTAGGAAAATGTCTCCAAACAGAAGAAATCTCTATGCAGAGATTAGCTGAAGCCCATCACAGTCCTCACAGGCAAAGATTATACTCTACAGAGTCAACACGCCCCTGGCTGGAGCCCCAGCATGGTGCTCTGCATGTGAGACCTAGCAGTTTAGATCACAGGTTTTAGAATCATACACATCTGGATTTAAGCTGAGAGACGCTAGGAAGTCACTCTGGAGCCTTGATTTTCCAATCTCTAAAATGGACTTAGCAGTCCCTTCCTCCAAAGAACACAGATATGTACTCACAGAACTACAAACTAGTCTGCTGAACAGTACGACTCTCCATCTATCAACTCTGTAAAGAGAGCTATAGTAGGCTGGGGATGTAGCTCAATGATAAAGCACTTACGCAGCATGAACAAGGACCTGGGTTCAATTCCTAAGAATGGACACACACACAAGAGCACACACGCACACAGGCACACACATGCACACACATGCACGCACACACACACACACACACACACACACGGAGCAGCACCACCACCATTTACTAGAGATGCTCTGGGACTTAGCCTGGGTTTGCCTGTATTCACATAAGTAACCTGACGGTAAAGATGATAACCCAAATGGGAGCCCCCTCATTCCATAGCCCCTTCAAGACTTCAAGGAACTATACAAACTCTTAGCCTTTACCTTTCCTCAGGAGTCTTACTATGCTCTTCCTGGCACTCTGCAGGAATCTCTGCTGGCCCCTCCTGGGACCATCCTTTGGCAGGAGTCTTATTATCCTCCTCTCTGGGGCAGGAGGCACCATAGGTCCTGGGGCCATATCGAGAACTTCCATCGTGGTTAAAAGTGAGGCGGGAGCCCCAGAGGCGGTCAGGGCTAGCAGGGATCTCTTTCCGAGGCTGTTCCATCTTGGCCAAAATTTCTTCTACTGTACAGGCTGCAAACCGCTCAGAGGAGGGACGGAAGGGGGCAGGGGCCTTGCGCACACCCCCCAGGGCAGCGCACCGAGCTGGAGGTGTTAAAGGGGGCAAGTCTTCTTTCCCAGCATCCTCTTTCCCAGACTCTTGGGTAACTTCTCCTCCTCTGGTAGCTGCCTCAGCTGTAGGCCTTGGTGTAAATGGGAGTGGACGCTTGCTGACACCATAGGGCTGAGGTCCTGCCAGCATGTTCATCTTCCGGGCAGAAGGCAGCTCAGCCAGGGGACCCCGAGGAGGACGAGGCCCGACAGGCACCAGAAGGCTGGGTTTGGCAGGCAGAGCTGGCTTACTGGGCAAGCCCCGAGGCTTGGGCTTGACAGGGGGCTTGGCTCGTGGGTCACCTTTCAGAAGGAAGGATTCATTAGGAACTGACTGAAGAACCATGAAACATAAATTCTTGTGACTCCTGCTGCACCAAATCTTCCACACTCCAACTTCGGAACCCATTGTTCTAGGTGAACAAGTCAGTACCGCCTGTTCCATGAAGCCTTCCTTGATTTTTCACAACCCATTATATAGCCTACCTTCTCCAAACTCCTACAACATTTACCACTTCCCTTCATAAAAACTCCGGGTGCTTTGGCTCCTTATCCCTCTAGCACCCTATGCTGCTCCTAACACAGATTCCTACCAAATGAATGAATTGAGCAAAGAAGCATATCCATCTGCTTGGCCTCACCATGCAGTCAGCCTGTCTACCCAGTTTAGTCCTATTTCTTTCTACAATCCTCTATAGCTCATTTCCACAGTGAAGTTTTGATCCTCGCTGAGCCCCCCTAGTCTCCCTGCCTCCCCTCCTCTTGGCGCCTCTGTTATCCAGTTGGTTATCAGGAATTCAAACTTTCTATTGACCTATGTCAAACAGAAGTAAATCTGGCACAGGAAGGAAGAAGGGGGAAAAAAAAAAAAAACAAGGGCAGAAATCTACCTTCTATATAAGGCATTGTAATGCCAAATAAAAGACCTTGGGAATTACTCATGGCCACAACCTTCTATAATAGAATCTTGTATCACCCACTCATTCAGCTAAGCATTTAAAAAGTCTAGACAGGGAGAAAGAAGTGCACTCCGTTTCTCCTTCTGTGCCTCGGTGTCTCCTTCTCAAAGACTCCCTGGACCTGTCTCAAAGGCTCTGCTTCCACCCCAGCTAGAGATCTACCTCATGCCCACCAGACACCAAGGCCCTTCAGCACTCATTTCAGACTCTCCTCAACTGTCACTCAGGTAGCTACCTGCCGGGACAGAATAGGGGTGCAGCCTCTACCCTCCACGCCCTCCTCCCAGTCACAGCCCCACCCTACACCCATCACCCATTGGTACCTGGCTCTGAGCCAACAGGCGCCAGCTCCTCCTCCATATCCTGGGGCAGTGGGGAAGCCATGGCTGTGCTTTCCCTGAGAGTGGATCCTTTCATCACATACAGCACGCCCTGCCTGAGAAACGGGAAGTAGTGTGAGCGGGGTGGCTGAAGACCCAGGAAAGGGAGAGGTGGAGAAGGGAAAGAGCTGGGAGAGGCAACAGGCTTAGCCAAGGAAGTCTATTTCTAACCCAGGCAGTGTGGGACAGGAAGAGACAACTCCAGGAGGAGGCCAGGAAGGTCCCCACAGCCACATCCTCAACTCTTGACACAACTCTCCAACTCTTGGCTCTGAACCTCAATGATCTAGCACGTGAGGGAGCCACCTCCACCCACACCACCCCCAAGCTCCCTCCTGTGATACCCTACTTACAGTTCCTGAGGCAACCCTCTTGGGTCAGAGAGCCCCACTCGAGATGTCCACTCTGAGCAGAGCAAGAAGGCCAGAAACTCTCAAGTCTCTGGAATCACCTCATGGGAGACGGGAAAAACCCGCTCCTCCCCAACCTGGGGCTCCGCCCCACAGCCGGCCCCCCCTTCCCATTCTCCTCCCTCCCTCTATGGCTGGGAGTGGCTCCCTATCCCCCCACCCCCACCCCCATTCTCCTTCCATATCCCTGCCACCCTCCAGCACTCATGAGCTGTCTCATCCAAACACAGGGAAATAAGAAATAAAAAGTAAACATCTGGAATACATTTTTTTCCCTTTAATTTCTCAATCGTTTTGGCTTCAGCTTGGAATTTGATGAGGTAAAGCCAGGGCCTAGTCCTGTTACCATAGCAATGGCCTCCCACTGGATTTCCAGGGCCTAGCCAAGGGGAAGGAGGAGCCGGCCTAGGATGGGCAGGGAGGACTGACTGGGCTTGATTGCATGGGGGTGGGGGGTGTAACTGAGAGGAAAACTCCCTGGGGTCCCCCTTCCAGGGCAGTCAGGGAGGGACCTGCAAAGCCTGTGAAATGGGAATGTGTGTGCATCCTGAAGGAGCTTTGAGGGTTCAGAAGAAATTAAACCAGATGACAGCCACATGGTAGTGCCGGGAGCCTCTGAATCTGATATTGTAAGATTTAACAACTAAATGGGTCTATCACTTAAGAGCTGTGTGAATACTCTCAGGCTGTTTCCCTATCTAAAAAAATAGGGTATTAAATGAGTTTCAAGCCAAACAATGCATCCAAAATACCAAGCCTGGAAGTGATAAGTAACAGTTGGCCATTATTAACGTGATTCCATTCAGTGTCTCCAGTGAGCTAACTGATATCCTTGGTTACCACCTCTACCTACCTCTCCACCTACCCTGGGCTGCAGCTCTAGACCATCCCTTCATGTCCCCCCACCTCAAATTCTTCAGGCTTTCCACCTCCTCAGTTCCCACCCTGACTGCTGAAGCACCCTCCCACTCACAAGACCCCCTCAGGCTCAACAGCCTGGTGACTAGAGAGCACTGCTCCTCTGGTTCAAGAGCAAGGAGAAGCTGCCAAACGTATGGAATGCACAGAGCCCTGGAGGGCAACCCAACCCTCTCCAACCCTCGGTTGCAACCTCAAAGTTCCCCTCCCACTCCAGCTGGTCTGAGAAGACAGTTCTCAATTCTAAAAGCGACCTGTGGTGTCCAACCTTTGCAAAAGGTGCCCCCATCCCCTTGACCCTGTCCCAGCTTATTTAAAAAGGGTACAGTCAGTAACTCCACTCTTTCAATGTCAATCAGCTGACCAGCCAACTACCACGGGCTGTTTCCCTTGTATGTGGGTGAAAAACGTATGAGGGTGGAGAAATGACAGAAAAAAATAAAATTAAAAATATATACAAGATTGCTTCCTTGTCCTTGAATATTATTACAAGAGATATGGTGTGGGTGGTTAGAAATGGAGAAAAACTAGTCCAGAAGAGAAAACCCCTCTCACCTGGGGGCTTGATGGACACCTCTGAGGTTATAAGGAACTGCAGAGACGAAAACAGGCTCTGAGTCCCCAACGAGGGAGGTGGCTACGGTAGAGAGGCCCCAGCCAGGAGCCCCAGGTAACCAAGGCCATGCCCATAAGCTGCAGAATCGCAGTGCCTCACGAACTCCCCACCCTTAGTGGTCTAGGGAAACCAGACAGCCCTGGGAGTAGAGGCAGCCCCCAAAGAATGGAAAGGAGCTAAGTAGCCCCAGCCCTGGACAAGCACTCAGAAGGGCCTGAGGGAAGCAGGGTCGACCCTAAAGGTCTCCTGCTGGACGTTCAGCTAGTACGGTCAGGAGGGATTTAAGTGTTGGAAGAGGGGAGCCAACAGGAAGATGGAACAGCCCAGGGCAAGGGGCTGTTTGGAGGGCCTCCGTGGGGAGCTTACGGACACCGAGCGGCTAGCCGAAGAGGAGGAGCAGACGAGGGTGGAGAAGGAGGGGGCGGCAGCAGCCGAAGACTGCGCGAGATGCCAAGCAGCCCGCGAAGGAACAGACCGAGGACTGGCGATGGGGACTCGGTGGAGGCGGCCTGGGGTGGATGGGGGCGTGCCGTGGGAGCCAGGGAAGGGGGCCGGTGAGGGCAAGGAAGGGGTCCTTCGAGCAGCTCCGCCCGCCCCCGGCCCCGCCCCACCCTCGCCTCTCCCCGCTTTCTTCTGGCTCACTGCACGGACGCCTTCCACCCCCGCACACACGCGCCAGCTCCGCAGCGCCGGAGCGTCCCCAAAGCCCCAGGCCCTCTCAAACTTTCCCGGTGACCCCCTCCCATCGCTGCCGCCCCAATCTGAGGATGCGGCTGCTAGGCGCTGGGTTCTTTCCATGCCCTTCCCTGTCCCCATCCCCAGACCCCGCCCCCTCCTGCTGCCGCGCACTCACGCGCTTCCCCGGGACCGGCTCCACTCAGCGAGGCACCCCGACGCCAGTGACCGCCGCTGCCGCCGCCGCCACCGTCACCGCCGGACCGTGCCAGTGCAAACCCCGGAGCCCCACCCCTCGCCCCGCCCAGAGACACGCCCCCATACCGCTCATGAATATTCATGTAGGAAACCGGGGGGTAGGAAAACGATGCTGAAGCAGAGCCCGGCGCACCGTATGCAAACAAGCACAGATTCCACATAATTATTCATGACCTTGTAAATGAGGGGCCGGTCCTGATTCAGATTTAGGCGAAACTGACGCAATATTACCCCAGCGCCACCGAGATGACTGCCTAGAGAGGAAACCGCCCTGGACAGCTTTCCCCAAGCCTACATTGATTACAACACCATAGAGCGCGGGCAGGACGAAGGGAACCGTTGGCGGACTGAAGAGTCTTCCTGTTACACCTGCGTCTTCTGAGAGCGGAAAACGACGTGACCACCGCACGTGGATAAATTCTGATTGAGCCCCACTGTGACAAGTGGGGTAGTTTTTTTCCCTCCTGTTATGTCTCCTTTATGATTTTTTTTTTTCAGTTACCAAACACAAAGTTTTGTAGCCCTCCCTTGCCAGAATCTTCTCATACTTAACTTCACAAATATAGACAACTCATTTCCCCAATCCTCTCGACTCAGGTTTCCACACTCTACACTAAAAGTCAATCCTCATTCTATTATCTCAAGCCTTGTAAGACCCTTGACTCATAAGGTGATTTAAAAAGCTCAGAGCTGCCGCCGACACTGCCCCCACCATTGGCTAATGGCGTGAGTGGAGCTATGAGAGGCTTCCTAATCAGATCAGCACACATTTCTTGACTCTCAGGTGGCACAGTTCCACAGACGTGAAAACCAACGCTTGTTCAGCTGGGAAGGACATGATGTACCTGGAGACTTGCTTCCCAGATGGCCAGGAGGGCCCTGCCCAGTCAGGAAAGGTAAACACCACATGCAAAGTGGGAAAGGAGACATTAGGACATCGTTTCCAAAGTCAGTTCCCTTTATTAAATTGTTTTCACAGACCAGAAATACAAAATAAAAGTAGAAATAGGCCCCTATTAGGAGCTACAGGCCTGACTTCGCATGACCCCTGCTGCAGCAACTTGAACAGGACAGGAAGCAGCTTTACCCCTACAGTCAGGAAAGTAGGAAAATAGGCTGAGGACTTGGATCCTTCAATGCACTGCGAGTAGACAGTAACACACTCCTACCCAGTCTCTCTCCAGATTGCAAGGAGCCTCCCTTGCAAAGCAGCAGAGGTTAGGTGCTTCCCTCAAAGCCTTAGAGAAGTGGAAGCCACCAAGAGCAGTTACTCAGATGGCACAGAATCCAAGGACTATGTGAGAGACTGGTACCAAAATGAGTAGGGAGCCTGGAGACGTGATAGGGCAAGGGCAAACTCTCTTCTGTTACTCATCAGATCCTGAGGCAGAGTCCTCTGAGCTTGGAGGGGTACTGGCTAGTTCCTCTTCTTCAGAGTCCTGAAAACCAAAGATCGCTTAGGGTAAATGAGTAGCAGCTAGCTGCCTTCCCAGTCAGGTGGTGAAGGGTTCCTAATGCCTAGCTCTTCCTACAACTACTGTACTCACCAAAACCTCAGGAGTCCACATGTCCCCACTAACTCATTCCTCATAGACCAACCACAACTGGACCTTACCCACTCCCAGACACGTACACCTCTCAACCCCCCACACTGCTGCCGCACCTCGCTCCGCCTCCTCTTCTTTTTGCTCTTGTTCTCCCCTGAAGAGCTCTCGTCACTGGACACAAACTCTTTGCTCTTGAAGCTGTCGCTCAACTGCCTAGATGAAGGCTTGGATGATGAGCCCCGGGAGGGAGTGGATTTTTTTTCCATCTTTGCTTTTACTTTCTTTTTCTTCTTAGATTTGTCCCTAGATTAGGACCATGAAAAAAAAAAAGCCAGGTCATTAGGCTCTCTGTATTATTACATAGGCCACGTTTCTCCTAGCTGTAATGAGGACTTTTCCCAGTACTGGCCACACTATTCTCACCATGACAAATATAATGTCGGCTGTCAGCCCAAAGTGCATCAAAGGACAGGATCATATATAAGTACTCGGAAGAACCAGGGTCACAGCCTAAAGCAACTGATATACAAAACTTACTGGACATTTTTGTGTTATTTAAAAGCTCATGTGGGCCGGGCAGTGGTGGCTCACGCCTTTAATCCCAGCACTTGAGAGGCAGAGGCAGGTGGATTTCTGAGTTCGAGACCAGCCTGGTCTGTGAGTTCCAGGACAGCCAGGACTACACAGAGAAACCCTGTCTCGAAAAAACCAATAAATAAATAAATAAATAAATAAATAAATAAATAAAACTCATGTGGACTTTGTATTAGGCTTCTAAAAATACTTTTTTCTGAACTATTCTGTTATTTCAAATAATACTGATCTAGGAAAATGGGCCATATTTATCCCCCAACCTGAAATGCATCGCCCATTCTTGACAATGGCATTCAGGGATTTAAGAAGCACAACTCAAACTGCTGTCAAAACGTGTACAATAATTCTCCATTCTGACCTGGAAAACACAATCTGCTTTAAGTAGTTACTAGCCGTTTTGTTCCCAACACTCACCTTTTAGACGAGTCCCCTCTTC